TGACATAGGTAATTGGAACCAAATTGTAGTTCTTATATAGTTATAGGTTAATTTGTAACAATTGTCTGAATTAAACCAGCGTTAGGACGTTAAGGTTAGGACGTTCTGTATATGTGGGCAAAAGGGGAACAAAATAAGTGATTTGTTGATTAGTTAATTGCGAATTAAGGCGTGTAGAAATAAAAATAACCAGATCGGGTTGATGGAATGTTGTTGGACAACCGCCAACAATGTGGTGTGTTTGAAATGAAATTTTTGTAAAAGGGTTTTGTTTGTGTATGATGGAGTTCCTGAAGAACCTATGTCGTTATGTGTGTAGTAATAAGTTGTGTAGTGTTGTTGGTGCTGTTCAAATCAAAGTTATGTGAGGAAGTAGGTAAAAAGGTAAGACAGAAGACAAGACAGTCAAGCGTGCGAATCAGTATCCCTGTACGCGGCGTTTCATCCTTTTGCAGACTCGTCAGCGGGGAGCAGGGTTGGCTTTGTGTAAAAGAAACATGAAGATAAGAAGTGTGTAAAAGTGGTGTGTGTTTATAGGAGAATCATAAAGAATCAAACCTGCGTGAAAGTGTATTCGTAAAAGGTAAAATAATAAAATTATAAAATTACACTGTGTGTCTTACCAAAGTTGTTGTTGAACTTGGATAAACCAACGCGATGAGCCATCTTAAGGTTGTTGTGAAAGCGAGTAGAATATTACAGGAATCGGCTTAAAAATGCTTAACAGCAGAGCTTGTATTCGTTCAAGAAGCTTGATCCAAAAGAGGTCAGGGATTACACATTTGTGCATAAAATGCGTTGGTATGTTACGTCACTGGGATCAGGTGTCAAAGTCTGTGTTGAAGATAGTGGAGGTTTATGTGTCAATAAACAAGTGGGACTGTTTTCTGGTTCATTGTATGAGATTGATTCACTTGTTACAACTAGAACTAAACAATATGGCGAGCTTGGTGGCGCTCTATCCGTTCCCTATAGGGGTATCACAATGTTTATTTTGTATTTTAACATAGGTAATTGGAACCATATTGTAGTTCTTATATAGTTATAGGTTAATTTGTAACAATTATCTGAATTAAACCAGCTAGAGATCGAAAAAGGTTAGGTCATTATATGTGTGGGCAAAAGGGGAACATAATAAGTAATTTGTTGAATAGTTAATTGCGAAGTAAGATGCGTTAGTATGTTAGGTCACTGGGGTCAGGTGTCAAAGTCATTGTTGGGGATAGTGGAGGTTTACGTGTCAATAAACAAGGGGGACTGTTTTCTGGTTCATTGTATGAGATTGATTCAATTGTTACAACTATAACTAAACAATATGGCGAGCTTGTTGGCGCTCTATCCGTTCCCTATAAGGGGTATCACAATGTTTATTTTATATTTTGACATAGGTAATTGGAACCAAATTGTAGTTCTTATATAGTTATAGGTTAATTTGTAACAATTGTCTGAATTAAACCAGCGTTAGGACGTTAAGGTTAGGACGTTATGTATATGTGGGCAAAAGGGAACAAAATAAGTGATTTGTTGATTAGTTAATTGCGAATTAAGGCGTGTAGAAATAAAAATAACCAGATCGGGTTGATGGAATGTTGTTGGACAACCGCCAACAATGTGGTGTGTTTGAAATGAAATTTTTGTAAAAGGGTTTTGTTTGTGTATGATGGAGTTCCGGAAGAACCTATGTCGTTATGTGTGTAGTAATAAGTTGTGTAGTGTTGTTGGTGCTGTTCAAATCAAAGTTATGTGAGGAAGTAGGTAAAAAGGTAAGACAGAAGACAAGACAGTCAAGCGTGCGAATCAGTATCCCCGTACGCGGCGTTTCATCCTTTTGCGGACTCGTCAGCGGGAGCAGGGTTGGCTTTGTGTAAAAGAAACATGAAGATAAGAAGTGTGTAAAAGTGGTGTGTGTTTATAAGGGAATCATAAAGAATCAAACCTGCGTGAAAGTGTATTCGTAAAAGGTAAAATAATAAAATTACACTGTGTGTCTTACCAAAGTTGTTGTTGAACTTGGATAAACCAACGCGATGAGCCATCTTAAGGTTGTTGTGAAAGTGAGTAGAATATTACAGGAATCGGCTTAAAAATGCTTAACAGCAGAGCTTGTATTCGTTCAAGAAGCTTGATCCAAAAGAGGTCAGGGATTACACATTTGTGCATAAAATGCGTTGGTATGTTACGTCACTGGGATCAGGTGTCAAAGTCTGTGTTGAAGATAGTGGAGGTTTATGTGTCAATAAACAAGTGGGACTGTTTTCTGGTTCATTGTATGAGATTGATTCACTTGTTACAACTAGAACTAAACAATATGGCGAGCTTGGTGGCGCTCTATCCGTTCCCTATAGGGGTATCACAATGTTTATTTTGTATTTTAACATAGGTAATTGGAACCATATTGTAGTTCTTATATAGTTATAGGTTAATTTGTAACAATTATCTGAATTAAACCAGCTAGAGATCGAAAAAGGTTAGGTCGTTATATGTGTGGGCAAAAGGGGAACATAATAAGTAATTTGTTGAATAGTTAATTGCGAAGTAAGATGCGTTAGTATGTTAGGTCACTGGGGTCAGGTGTCAAAGTCATTGTTGGGGATAGTGGAGGTTTACGTGTCAATAAACAAGGGGGACTGTTTTCTGGTTCATTGTATGAGATTGATTCAATTGTTTATTTTATATTTTGACATAGGTAATTGGAACCATATTGTAGTTCTTATATAGTTATAAGTTAATTTGTAACAATTGTCTGAATTAAACAAACTAGAGAAAAATAGACGTTATGTGTATGTGGGCTAAAGGGGAACATAATGAGTAATTTGTTGAATAGTTAATTGCGAATTGAGGGGCGTAGAAAAAAATAAAAATAACCAGGGTAGTTTGGAATTTGTTGGACAACTGCCAACCATGTGGTGTGTTTGAAATAAAATTTTTAAAAAGGGTTTTGTTTTTGTATGATGGAGTTCTTCAAGAAACTATGTAGTTGCGTTTGTAGTAATAGGTTGTGTAGCGTTATTGGTGGTGTTAACTCAAGGTAATGTAAGGAGGTAGGTAGAAAAGTAAAACAGAAGACAAGAAAGGCAAGCGTGCGAATCAGTATCCCCGTACACGGCGTTTCATCCTTTTGCCGACTCGTCAGCGGGAGCAGGGTTGGCTTTGTGTAGAAGAACCATGAAGATAAGAAGTGAGTAAAAGTGGTGTGTGTTTATAGGAGAATCATAAAGGATCAAGACTGCGTGAAAGTGTATTCGTAAGGGGTAAAATAGAAAATTTAAACTGTGTGTCTTACCAAAGTTGTTGTTGTACTTCGATAGACCAACGCGATGAGCCATCTTAATGATTAAAGTTGTAAGACCGTGTGGAATTTTATCAAAATTCGTGTAAGAAATTGCTTGACAGCAGAGTATCCGTTCAAGAAGCTTGATCGAAAAGGGGTCAGGTATTACATGTGTGTGCATAAGATGCGTTAGTGTTACGTCACTAGGGTCAGGTGTCAAAGTCTGTGTGGGAGATAGTGGGGTTTACGTGTCAATTATGGTTGTGTGTGGACATCGAGGTTTAATTGTGTTTTGTTCGTATGGTGTACTTCATGTAGTATGGTTCGTTATTATTGTTCAAGTTACATTTTATTATATCACCGTAGTCATGAGTTAATACAAGTATGGTCGACTTGTTTTGGACTTTGGTGAGGAATTACAATGCAATATCGTCATCTGTGGGTAGTAAAATATCCCGGGTCCTAAAAACTTACGTGGGTGATGTTCGGCGATGTGTCGACCGTGGGGGTTTCGGTCGTGACTAGGGTGATCAATAAGCTAGTCAAGGTTTTTAATTATAAAGGTTCGTATGTATTTAGAATTTTATAATCAGTTTGTAAACCGTGCATATAATTGTGAGTGTAAGGTTGTAGGTATATAGATATCAATGGTTACTGTATATATACAACATATGAACTGTACATTATATTACAAAAGGATTGTTGGACCTGACCATGTTTCCCGTGACCATGTTCATGTGGTATGATTTGAAGTGTATTTAATCCGTGTGGTTGAACATTTAGGTTCTGTTTGGGCATCTGGTCACATTTATGGCTTAATTCTGCTAAGGACAAGTATTTTTGTAAAAAAATTTCTATTCTATACTTATGTCAGCAGGATGCCCAGGATGCCAGATTTGATGTGACTGGTTAAGGTCATGTAGTTTTCACAGGAGAGTGCCACAGGGTTTGCTTGTCATGTGTTGGTTCTTGCATGTTCTCACTTATAACCCAGTGTGTCCCAGTAAGTTCTTTGGTTTGTTATGTCCACTCTGGTGTTTTCAAGGTGGTATTCAGACACAATGTTAATTGGGAGTGGTATCTCTGTTAGTGGTATCTATTTTTATATCTCTGTGTTCATGGTGGTGTGGAGGTTTCTGGCTGTTTAGGTTAGGTTTGGGGTTGATGGGAGGCTTGGGGATTTGGGTTATCGGATGTTATTATGTTTGGTTAGTGTTGTGTCTGGTATTAAGTTTTGCTGTGATAAGTGTGTCTCTCAGGTTAGTATTACGTTGGTAGGCTACAATTGGAGGTTCTTGCCATAGACTCCTCAGTGTGGGGTCATTCTCCAATATGTTCCAGTGTTTACGTAGGATGTTTGCAATGTATTTTGTGTTTGTGTTGTATGGAATGGAGAAAATTGGGCGGCTTGTGTTTTTTTGGTTTTGTTTCCTATTGAGTAGGTCTGTTTGAGTGTATTGTAGGGCTTTGTTGAAGTTAGTGGTGATGGTGTCATGGTCATATCCGCGATGGATCAGTGCAATGAGGAGGTGGTTTAGTCGTTGTTGTAATTTGTTGTTGTCTGTAATAATGCGTCTGTATCGTAGTGCCTGACTGTAGATGACTGCATTCTTGCATGTGGTGGGGTGAAATGAGCGTTTGTGTAGTAGAAGGGTTTTGTCAGTTGGTTTAATGTACAGGTCTGATTCCAGTTTGTTGTTTTTGTTTTTGTAGATAGTTGTGTCGAGGAAGTTGACACATTCCTCAGAAAAGGAGAAGTCAAATTTAATGGTAGGATGGAAATTGTTGATATATTTAAGGAATTTTTCCAGTTTGTGAGTGCTGTGTCCAGATTGCAAACATGTCATCTATAAATCTTATCCATTCAATAGGTATAAGATTTTCAGGAGCTTGTTGGAGGAGCTCCTGTTCAAGTGCTGCCATGAATATGTTTGCATAGGTAGGTGCCATTGGTGATCCCATAGCAGTGCCGTGAATTTGTAGGAAGTGTTCGTTGTTAAAAGCAAAGGCGTTCTTCTTAAGTACAAGGGATAGGATGTCATGAACTAGTTTCTCCATTTCAGGGGTAATTGTGTTGATTTCTTTCAACATGTCTACACAGGCTTGGATGCCTTGATCATTAGGTATGTTGGTATAGAGACTTCTTACGTCAATAGTAATAAGTATGAACTTGTCTAGTAGTGTGTTATTCTGAGCAAATATCCGGCATAGAAAGTCTGTAGTGTCCTGGACATATGATGGTATGTGTTGTAGGAGTGGTTTGAGTAGATGGTCAGCATATTGAGAAAGCTTGACTGTTGGTCCACCACAACCGGAGATGATAGGTCGACCTGGAATGTTAGTTTTGTGTATTTTGGGTAAAAGGTAAAGTTGTGGTGTCCTGGCTTGATTGTCAGTTGTGAGATATTTAAATGTTGTGTTGTCAATGGCCTTAGATTTGTGGAGTTTGTGTGCTAGGGTTTTGGTTTCAGTTAAAATTTCAGGGGTCGGGTCATGTGTTAGTTTCTGGTAGTGTTTCTCATTATACAGTTGTCTATATGCCTCAGTAAGATAATCTTCCATTGGCCATATCACAATGGCTCCTCCTTTGTCTGCTGGTTTGATTATTATATCATCATCCTTTTTCAGATCATGGATGGTTTTGAGGCTTTGTGAGGATATGTTGGTTTTTGTAGTTTGTTTTTGTGTTCCAAATTCAGTTTTGAGATCGTAGAGTACATTTGATATGTATTCTAACAGGTTGCTGTTGTTGGGGTTTGGTGCTGTGAAGTTACTGGGTAGTTTAAATGGATGTTTCCTAGTGTCCTTTCTGTTTCTGAAGAAGTATTTATTGTACATGCTTTTTTATATTTCAGAAAAGAGTCATATATGGTCTTGTATGGTGTGTGTTTGGGTGTCGGGACAAAGGTAAGACCTTTCGACAGGGTTTTTTGTGCTTCATGTGAGATGGGTTTGTTAGAGAGGTTGACAATAGTATTGTGTTGGGAGTTGTATTTGAGTTTTTTATGTAGTTTATTTTTGCTTTTGTGTCTGTTGTTATTTGTGTTCCGTTGTGTTTTTAAATATTTAAGGATGTTTCGTTTGTTGTAATTGTTTGTAGCGGTGTTGAGTTTTAGTTGGTTTTTTGTTATTTGTGATGTGTGGGTTTGTTGCGTCTTAGAAAATCCAGGATTTGTTGTTGCGTGTTGTAGTTCAAGTGAGATGGAATGTTTATGTGAGGTGCTGGTTGTTGCTCATTGTTGTTTGGTTGATGGGTTTGGTGTCTGTTGTTATTAGGTTGTCGATAGTGGGTTGGTATTCGAAGTTGTGGTGTCCTTGTTACTGTTGTTGTGCTAGTTGTTCTGGGTTTGTGGTGGTGTGGGGTGTGGGTTTGCATGAGGGGTTTTGGTTTGTGTCTGTTGGTCGGTGTGTGTGTGGGTTTGTTGGTTGGTTGGCTGGTTGTTCTGTATGGTGTCCTATGGGGTGAGGAGGTAGTTGGAGTGATTCTGGTATTTGTGTTGTTAAGTCGTTTAAGTTTTATGTTGCGATTGTGGGATGGTGCTAGGCAGGCTTGTTTCGTGTATTTGGTTGCAATGGCGTCCGTTTGTTGTAGTATGTTGGGCTGTTGTGTCACATTTGTTGTTGATTTGTGCAGATTTATGTTGTATTTTGAACTCTGTGTTTGTTATTTAGGGAACGGAGAGAGCGCCACCAAGCTCGCCATATTGTTTAGTTCTAGTTGTAACAATTGAACCAATCCAATACAATTAACCAGAAAACAGTCCCCCTTGTTTTTTCACACACCCCTAACACACTTACTAACAAACACAACGATCACTACTCAAGTGGAACTATTACTCACAAAGGATAACCTTAATTTTTAAGAAGTCCCATTCAACTCCAAAAATCAAAGCAACCCGCCTGAAAACCCTACCAAAAACCCTACTGAAAACCCTACCGAAAACCCAACCGACCCCCAGAATATGTCGATTGATAACCCTGACAACACAATCCCCACCCTTGGCACTAACCCATGCCCAATCCAACCCAACCCCCCACCCTCACCTGACATGTCCGACGAACAGATAGACGAATTTTTACAGACTGACTTATTTTTGGCCTTATTTTTGGCCACAAATTGATCATATCCGATCAGGAAACTGATTTAATAATAGAAGGCCTACATAAGGAAAAACAAAAACTTTTTAACACAGAAGACGAAAACCCAAAGACAAACGACACACCATAAATCACAACTAACCCCAAAACCACAACCAACACCACACCACACAATGACCAACCACAATCCATTCCCAACCCCAACAGCATACCACCACACCTCCTGGAAACATTCCGCATCATTAGCACACAGAAAACCAAATTATCAAAACTCAAATGCACACTTGACGAACTGGAAGAACACAAAAAAGCACAAACACTACCCCCTGGACTAGAAATCACACACAAAAGCAAACATTACCTGAACAAAGACCTACGACAAAGATGGGAGGACATCTTAATGAATGCCTCACAAGAACTATTGACAGTAACCATTGACTATCACAAACAGGAAATAACAAACACAGAGTTCAAAATACAACATAAATCTGCACAAATCAACAACAAATGTGACACAACAACTGCCAACAACATACTACAACAAACGGACGCCATTGCAACCAAATACACACAAGCCTGCCTAGCACCATCCCACAATCGCAACATAAAACTAAACGACTTAACAACACAAATACCAGAATCACTCCAACAACCTCCTCACCCCATAGGACACCATACAGAACAACCAGCCAACCAACCAACAAACCCACACACACACCGACCAACAGACACAAACCAAAACCCCTCATGCAAACCCACGCCCCACACCACCACAAACCCGGAACAACTAGCACAACAACAGTAACAAGAACACAACAACTTCGAATACCAACCCACTATCGACAACCTAATAACAACAGACACCGAACCCATCAACCAAACAACAATGAGCAACAATCAGCACCCACATAAACATTCCATCTCACTTGAACTACAACACGCAACAACAAATCCTGGATTTTCTAAGACGCAACAAACCCACACACACAAATAACAAAAAACAACTAAAACTCAACACAGATACAAACAATTACAACAAACGAAACATCCTAAAATATTTAAAACACAACGGAACACAAATAACAACAGACACAAAAGCAAAAATAAACTACATAAAAAACTCAAATAACTCCCAACACAATACTATTGTCAACCTCTCTAACAAACCCATCTCACATGAAGCACAAAAAACCCTGTAGAAAGGTCTTACCTTTGTCCTGACACCCAAACACACACCATACAAGACCATATACGACTCTTTTCTGAAATATAAAAAAAGCATGTACAATAAATATTTCTTCAGAAACAGAAAGGACACTAAAAAACATCCATTTAAACTACCCAGTAACTTCACAGCACCAAACCCCGACAACAGCAACCTGTTAGAATACATATCAAATGTACTCTACGATCTCAAAACTGAATTTGGAACACAAAAACAAACTACAAAAACCAACATATCCTCACAAAGCCTCAAAACCATCCATGATCTGAAAAAGGATGATGATATAATAATCAAACCAGCAGACAAAGGAGGAGCCATTGTGATATGGCCAATGGAAGATTATCTTACTGAGGCATATAGACAACTTTATAATGAGAAACACTACCAGAAACTAACACATGACCCGACCCCTGAAATTTAACTGAAACCAAAACCCTAGCACACAAACTCCACAAATCTAAGGCCATTGACAACACAACATTTAAATATCTCACAACTGACAATCAAGCCAGGACACCACAACTTACCTTTTACCCAAAATACACAAAACTAACATTCCAGGTCGACCTATTATCTCCGGTTGTGGTGGACCAACAGTCAAGCTTTCTCAATATGCTGACCATCTACTCAAACCACTCCTACAACACATACCATCATATGTCCAGGACACTACAGACTTTCTATGCCGGATATTTGCTCAGAATAACACACCAGACAAGTTCATACTTATTACTATTGACGTAAGAAGTCTCTATACCAACATACCTAATGATCAAGGCATCCAAGCCTGTATAGACATGTTGAAAGAAATCAACACAATTACCCCTGAAATGGAGAAACTAGTTCATGACATCCTATCCCTTGTACTTAAGAAGAACGCCTTTGCTTTTAACAACGAACACTTCCTACAAATTCACGGCACTGCTATGGGATCACCAATGGCACCTACCTATGCAAACATATTCATGGCAGCACTTGAACAGGAGCTCCTCCAACAAGCTCCTGAAAATCTTATACCTATTGAATGGATAAGATTTATAGATGACATATTTGCAATTGGACACATGGCACTGACAAACTGGAAAAATTCCTTAAATACATATCAACAATTTCCATCCTACCATTAAATTTGACTTCCTTCTGAGGAATGTGTCAACTTCCTTGACACAACTATCTACAAAAACAAAAACAACAAACTGGAATCAGACCTGTACATTAAACCAACTGACAAAACCCTTCTACTACACAAAAGCTCATTTCACCCCACCACATGCAAGAATGCAGTCATCTACAGTCAGGCACTACGATACAGACGCATTATTACAGACAACAACAAATTACAACAACGACTAAACCACCTCCTGATTGCACTGATCCATCGCGGATATGACCATGACACCATCACCACTAACTTCAACAAAGCCCTACAATACACTCAAACAGACCTACTCAATAGGAAACAAAACCAAAAAAACACAAGCCGCCCAATTTTCTCCATTCCATACAACACAAACACAAAATACATTGCAAACATCCTACGTAAACACTGGAACATATTGGAGAATGACCCCACACTGAGGAGTCTATGGCAAGAACCTCCAATTGTAGCCTACCAACGTAATACTAACCTGAGAGACACACTTATCACAGCAAAACTTAATACCAGACACAACACTAACCAAACATAATAACATCCGATAACCCAAATCCCCCAAGCCTCCCATCAACCCCAAACCTAACCTAAATCAGCCAGAAACCTCCACACCACCATGAACACAGAGATATAAAAATAGATACCACTAACAGAGATACCACTCCCAATTAACATTGTGTCTGAATACCACCTTGAAAACACCAGAGTGGACATAACAAACCAAAGAACTTACTGGGACACACTGGGTTATAAGTGAGAACATGCAAGAACCAACACATGACAAGCAAACCCTGTGGCACTCTCCTGTGAAAACTACATGACCTTAACCAGTCACATCAAATCTGGCATCCTGGGCATCCTGCTGACATAAGTATAGAATAGAAATTTTTTTACAAAAATACTTGTCCTTAGCAGAATTAAGCCATAAATGTGACCAGATGCCCAAACAGAACCTAAATGTTCAACCACACGGATTAAATACACTTCAAATCATACCACATGAACATGGTCACGGGAAACATGGTCAGGTCCAACAATCCTTTTGTAATATAATGTACAGTTCATATGTTGTATATATACAGTAACCATTGATATCTATATACCTACAACCTTACACTCACAATTATATGCACGGTTTACAAACTGATTATAAAATTTCTAAATACATACGAACCTTTATAATTAAAAACCTTGACTAGCTTTATTTGATCACCCTAGTCACGACCGAAACCCCCACGGTCGACACATCGCCGAACATCAACCCACGTAAGTTTTTAGGACCCGGGATATTTTACTACCCACAGATGACGATATTGCATTGTAATTCCTCACCAAAGTCCAAAACAAGTCGACCATACTTGTATTAACTCATGACTACGGTGATATAATAAAATGTAACTTGAACAATAATAACGAACCATACTACATGAA